TTTGAAAATATCAGAATTTTCGATAATTTTTCTAATGTCACCTTTTTTAGCATTTTCTGGAACAGTCTGTCCAATTTGTTCCACTATTGCTATTAAATCACTTTTCTTTAAATTATTTAAGAAACTCATTTTAAAAACGAAACAAAAGTATCACTATCTTCAAGAAAGAAAGTTTTCACAGTACCTTCTCTGAAGTATTCAAATATCAAGTATCCCGGCCGAGCCCCCAGATTTTCTGTAGTGGGGGAGTTGAAGATGCTAAATAACAATTCCAACGTTGTTTTCCACACCACAGAACATTTAATAAAGACAAACAGAAGAAGGTAGAAATTAGATTAAATACAAGTGCCGTTTGATACAAACAGGATTCTGTATATCTTTTGCCAGTCTTATCACTTAAACGATTAGTGCCTACTCGCACTTGCTGATGTATTATACAGTCAATTTACCACCTTCGTGTGGACTACAGTTCCTTATTCTACACCTTCACGTGTAGACAGACATCTCACCACCTTCGCATTGGATAGCAGAAGAAAGTCTCTGTCATACTCCTCTTTCACCTCACTGCTGGCGCATCGGTGAGGCCCTCTGGTGGTTGTGTTGCCCTTACAGATACCACATATATATATATATATATATATAGTTTTTTTTTTTTTTTTTTTTTTAGGCCAGGTGCTGTATTTAATAGCTATTAGCCTTGTGCCACTGGAAAGGCCATTTCATTATGAAAGCACTTGATAGGTGGCCACCATTGCCTTCTATAAAAGGACAAACAGTTATAACTATGCCTTCTTAAGGATTTGAACCTGGACCCATCGTTACGGCAGTCAGGGACAATGAACTCAACAAAAATACACTTCAAATTTATCAAAAGTTAACTTAATATACAGTTTATATGAACATAGAATAGTCTACACCAGTGTTTCTCAACTGGATTTACTCCAAGGAGTGGTAAAATATTTCAGTACGTTCTCGCAGACCGGTAAGTTTAATAATTCGACCCATTGGCACAATTTTTTCACATAAATTGTATTGCAATGTAGGTGCTGTTCTTAATATCAGTTATCGGCTGATAACACTTTGTATTTTGGACAGATAGCTGGATATTTCACAGACCGGCGGTTGAGAAACACATCATAAACTTTGGGCTATGGAACTTTTAAATGCCTAAACTGATGTGACTGGTACTCCGTGGATAATTGCAACAATAGTGTGCAAATTGCTAAGGATACACATCATTGGGTGTGTAACTAAAAAAGAACACGAAATTATGACATATTGAAGTAGACATAGATTTAGAGACTGGTTAATATATAGTTTCCACTCTCCACAGTATAGATCCTATCCATGATAATGTAATGATTAATTAATTGTATATTTTTTCATACAAATTATTATGTTAGAATTATTGTAAAGATGACATTGTCAGTTTAGCAGTGTAATATTACTATCATTGATTCCATGATAGTAGTGGCCGGCAGTGGTGGATGCTAGATTCTCTTTCCGTCACATGGACATAACTCTGATTGGTGTAGAACCTTAGGTTGGAGATCCATATGACAGTATTTCGGTCCCCAACCACTATACTGGCTGGGTGGCATAAGCAAATATTAAAGTGGAATAAAAGTCTCTTACCTTATTAATGGATAATCCATATTGTGATATGTAAGAAACACAGAAAGTAGACATATTTATTAGGTATAAGAAAGGAAAAAATATATCTTGCATTGGTAGAAACTTATTCAGCTCTCCGTGGCAGAAGCACGTAACGAGTAATGTGAAGAGAAAATTTCTTTTAGATCAAATCTACTTTCAATTAAGAGGATGAGGAAAAGTAATGTTGGATGAGCAGCTTAATTGCTTCCATTTTCCATGGCAATTTTATAAGCTTTTCATTTGTAGAAAGTAGACAGTGTCATTTGAACTCGCGAGATTCTCTTTCACGGGTTGCTTGAATCCCTTCAGAGGTCGAGTGGTTAATGACAACTGAATACTAATAGTTCAACCTAGTTCAGATAAGATCCCAGATGAATGGGCTGGATGCATGGTTGTTTTTCATATGTTTCCCTGTGTGTAAAGTAAATAAACCAGTTTTCCCTCAGAAATTCCTCCATAAAGGCAGAAATTCCTCTCTGAAGCAGATAGCTCTTGTGGTTTTGCCATATTCAAATAGCTAACCTATCATGCATTGCTTGAGAGCAAAGCTTAAGATTTTCATTTGTGCAGCATCACTTGAATTCAGGAGAGCTGTATGAGAAGAAAGCTTAGCATTTTTGTTTGCAGAAAACTTGAACAGTATCACTGAACTCAGGAGAGCTTCTCATTAATGGATTGTTTGCTTAGATGAATTAAATTGTATGTTGTAATGAAAAATATTTAGGTACCTCCAAATTCTATAAACATAAATATTTTGAAAAAATATGACATGAAGTAAGTTTATTGATTATAATTTACATTTTCAATTAGAAAAAAGCATGCACTGTTCTTTAAGATTAGATTATAATTTAAAAAAAAACTCTTAAAACTGATGCAAATAGAGGAAAAAATTTTAATTAATATAACATCTAACATATGATTGTTCAATGCTTTTTGGTGCCAAACATACTAAATTAGTTAAGACTGTCATATGACTTAGGGTCCCATTAATTAAAGTTATCACAACTCAAAGTGAAGGCTTAATAAAGACTCTTTATTAACACATGAACCTGATGGTTATACTAGCTTAAAAATAACGGGTGGTCATAATTAAACTGACAGTGCTCACAGTGTTCTGTAGTGCGATCTATTTGAAAGAATGACGCCACATTTTGTAGGAAGATTAAACAAGACAGGGGATGAAGGATTCCACGAAAAAAAAATTAGTTCCAAAAGTCACCGGTAGGGGAATATTTGGCACTGTGTAATAGAAAATAGAGTGTTAACAAATGCAAATCAATACGGAAATTACCTTTTATTTTGCATTCAAATGAGGTTCAATGTGGCTGCCATTGTTGTGGACCACATATTGCATTCTGTGCACAGTATACACAACAGCAGAAAGTAACATGTCTGCAGGAATCTCCCGTACAGTCCGTGATATGTTATCCTTCAACGTAGCCAGGTCCTGGACCACTCCTTGATAGATCTTGGACTTAAGGTAACCCCATAGCCAGAAGTCACATGGGGGATCAGGCGACCGGGCTGGCCATGCTGTTGGAAAGTAGCAGCTAATGACTCTTTCTATTGTGAATTTCTGTCGTAGCATCTGTTGTACCCGTACAGCAACGTGTGGAGGGGCTCCATCTTGCATGAAAATGATTTCCCCCAGGCATTGTATTTGCTGAAGTGCCGGAATGACAAAGCTGTTCAACATGTGACGATATTTCTCTTTGGTAACAGAACAGGTTTCCGGTCCTGTCGGGGTAATGTTCTCATAGAAGAATGGACCTACGATAAATTCCGCTGTGAACTCACACCAAACAGTTACCTTTGGTGAATGAAAGGGAATTGCTGTGACTGCATGTAGTGGTTTGTCATCCCAAATTCGGCAGTTCTGGGTATTCACAGTTCCATTCAGGTAAAAGTGGGCCTCGTCTCCCCATAAGATTTTCCACGGCCAAGGATCATCCTCCATTCTGGCAAGAAAGGCAAGAGCAAAAGTGCTTAATCGTGGTCGGGGTACAGTTAACTCCTGTACACGGCTGATCTTGTACGGATAGAAGTTGATAAACTTTCGTAAGATTTTCCATACCGTACTGTAAGGCATATTCATATTCCATAAGGCATATCCATAATAAAAAGTAATTTTATTTCCGTATTAATTTGCATTTATTAACACTCTTTTCCTATTACACAGCACCAAATATTCCCCTAGCGGTGACTTTTGGAACTAATTTTTTTTTCGCGGAATCTTTCGTCCCCCGTCTTGTTTAATCTTCCTATAAAATGTGGCGTCATTCTCGCAAATAGATCGCGCTACAGAACACTGTGAGCACTGTCAGTTTAATTATGGCCACCCGGTATAACAGAAACCAAAATCTGTAACTTGTAGGTAATTCAGAATACATATTCAATTTCAAACTGAATCGAGAGTACAAATCAGAATGCTCTGTTAAGACTTGACTGAGAACTAAGTGTTCATGAAGCAAAAGGGGTTTGCTGAATCGAAAGCCAGTAAATTAAATCCCATCAGCAAAACAGAGTTACAGTCAGACTGTGCTGCCAGAGGTTCTCTCAATATATGTTACAGGTAGTGCATGAAAAGACAGCATTCAGTGGAATATCTAGGCATTTTTTATAGAATGGCATTTTTTAGTCAAAGTATGAGATATAAGTACTATTATATACTTTCCCTTGGCATTCTATAGAATGACAAATGCTATTTAGGCAAAATATTAAAAAAGGCCATGATAATAATATTACTTAAGATTATGTATGGATATTCGAAGTGAATCAAAGAGATATTTCATACTATGCCAGTTTTAAGAAATGTATGTATCGTTTCATATATTGCTGTCCAATTTTTGGCATTCCATAGAATGAGTTAGTTAACATAAAACCTTATAAACAAAGGTAGATATTTTTACATGCCTTTTATTAAGAAAAATCTGGATTAAAATCTTTTAGATGGATTTAGCTATCAAACTGTAAAAATCTGCTATTCTAACCAAATGTACTCAAGGCATTCAGATACTGCATTTGTAGAAATTCTGTTGTTATAAATACTTTTATTTTAGAACTGCAAACATTTAATCATCAGCTTTCGGTTAATAACTGTTGAATCTTTTATACATTAAAAGACAAACCTGTTTTATAAATAAGTCAATGCACTGTGGTTAATAAAAGTATTACTTTACTATATGGGCAGATTTTTTTTTCTATGAATATAAGATTAAACTTCAAATGTTCAACCAGTAGCAAGTTGTATTATGTTTTATAAAACTAATTAATTATTTTCATTAAGAATTTGAACTTAAATTTTTAAACTGTTGAATTAAATGACAAAACTTTTCTATTTTTAGCTGGAACTGAGAAGAAGGTTTTTGTCCCAACGTCAGCCTCATCATTCCATTTGTGGATGCTATGATGAATTATATCCTTGGCAGTTGTGGGAAATGCTTGATTATAGATATCTTGCTCCGCATAATAATTTGCCAAATAATTCTGGCGAAGAAGAACATTGTCTTCCATCTACCTCATCTCCCACTAGAAATGCAAGATCAGGTGGTGACCACTGTGTTTCAGCCTGGAATTGGCTACCATGGCCTAGGCAGATAAGTGAAAGAAGTAGAATAAATCTGCATGATAGATCTGATGGCCAACCATTAAGGCAAAGTTTTATGAGACGCTTAATGTCAAGAGACGTAAGGAATCAAGCAGTTAATGGATCGGCAGAAGACTCTTGCTCACTTTCACAGTCAGTAGGGACTTTGCCCTGGAGAAGTGAATGCATACATATTTTTCGACCCAGTCCACATAATACAAATTTTTTTCCTCCTGTGCGTTTTGGAATTCGAGCAAGAAACATGCCTTATGGTCGACCTCACAGCAATCATCGCCGAACAAGATCAAATGATGGAATTTTCCATCATCTTCACATGAATGCACCACCTCGCTATGCACAACCATATTCCTTAATTGATGCTAATGGAGGAATCAGCTGTCACTTTTCAGGATGTGAAATTCCACGTTACATGTGGGGACCTCCTCCGCCTTACTCACAGCCACCATCAACTGAGAACATAGTCCAACTACAAAGCAGGCAGTCTGTTATAGAACTTGAACGATTAAGTAGTGGCATGGAAATACCACACTGTGATAGAGTCTACACAAATCTGGATATGGAACATGGTGGAAATGGTTCAGTATCTTCAAAGATCAGCACGCCCTTATCAGAAAGACGATTTTTGTGTCATAATTTTTCTTCAGAAGGAATTAGATTAACTATTGGCAGCAATTATACCAACATATGTACTCAGGATGCCGTGACCAGAGAGCATAAGCGAGAGGAAACATGTATTGTTGAAGTTCATGTACCTTATATATTTAATAAAAAAGATATTGTTTTCAATACATTACCTACAAGAAGCTGCAGAAAGAAAAATACAAATCATTTTAAATCGTTGTCAAATATTCCACTTAGTCTATCCCGTAAAATAAATAATGCAAAAAATGAAAAATCAGAACACGAACAACTTTCAGTAGTTAAACCACATTGTGACATAGAAGTAAATACAAATGCAACAGTGCGTGTTACTGATTCGAATAATGTGTGTCATTTGCATGATCTGAAGAGAATAACAAAAGAGCTTTTATGTACTGATTCTGTTGTTAGTAATTCATTGGAGACTGATACTTCACCAAGTTCACTTAGTTATCAGCCTGCAACAGTTGAGGTACCTGCACAATTTAAGGCCAGTCTTGCAACTGCTACTAGCCCATCTACCCCAGTAACAGAAAACTTTACACTTACTAGTAAAATGTACGCACAGTCCATGCCTAATTTAAACCTTTCAAATTCTCTTCCTAGAAACATTCGTAGTAGAGTGCCATCAAGTGGCAACACTTCGACATCTCAAGATTTTGCAGACTTTGAGTTGGAGGATGATAGTTCTCCTTTGGTTTTATGTAGCCCTATATCCGATATTCGATCTCTTCCTCCTTTGCCAGATGATGATGCATCTGACAGTTCCTCGTTGTATCCACCATGTCCTCGTTTGTTTGCATGTGACCATGAAGCTCTATTTTCTAATGATTCTAGTTCCGTCTCCTGTGAAGTGACAATGGAGAATGCACTTAGCACTGATTCTTCATCTTGCGAAATAATAGTAGTGGGAGATGGTGACAGACAATTATCCAGAACTTTACACTGCAGGTCCACAGAAACCACATTTGTGCCATTTTCATCATCACCATCAATCATCATAAGCAAACGTCCTCCGACTGAATGTTCAATCGACTGTAAAATTCGGCATCTTCATCACTATCATCCTGAAAAGATTGAAGTTCATGAGGTATCTGAACAGATGAGGGGAAATGATTTTAACTTGTCACAGGAAAGGACTAGTAATTTTGTTGTCACTATTAAAAGTGTGAATGTTTAAGTCGCTTATTTTGTTATGAATAAATTGTGCAGTTTTGTAGCTTGTGTCTTGATACATGACAGTGAATGAGACAAAAAGTTATAACGTGGCTTTATATATATATTTGTGGGACCATATCTTTTTATGCTAACTTCATCCCCCATATTGGGAGGCCTCATTACTGAATTTGTGGATCTATTTTTTATAGGAAATGAATTGTAGCCGTGTTATTTAAGTATGCTAAGTGAAAAATCTTAGTAATACATGCACATAATTTAGTTAATGTAGTTTCTATGTGATTTTGTTATATTAGTCATTGTTAAATTCTAAAAATTATTTTAATTCACTGTTAAAGTTTTTTTTTTTTTTTTTTTAAACCCAAACATTTAAAGACATTTCTGACTGATGATTTTACTTTTACGCATGTTTGACGAAATTGTGAACTGTATCTTGTTTGTTACTTTAGTGATTTTGTTCATGATTTCATCAAAGGAAAGCACAGTTTGAAATAAAATTATAGTAAAATAAGTTTTGCTTTTTGTATGTAAAAATTTTTTATTGGTTATGCTCTTTCAGTATGTCAAAGTGTATGAGGGCTATTTGCCTAAGAAAAAGGATATTTTCATGAGAGCTATTCTAAGAGAAACTGGCTTATATTCAGGTTAAACATAGAGAAAACCAACCATCGTCTGCCTGGGTTTGAACTGGTTTAGAATTACCAGTATCCACTGGTCTTTAACCACTTAGCCATAGCCATTTATTGATTTCAGCAATATATTTCAGTATTACTAACAAGATGTTATAAGCATGATTAAAGATTTGCAGAATTAAGCTTTTTGACACCTATTTCAAATAAACATTTGTAACCCAAAATATTGCTACATTTCTTCCAGTATGTTGCGGTTAGGAAAGAATAGAATATCCAAACACGGGAAAGACACAAGAGCTATCATCCTGAGAGGAGGAGTTTCTGAGACTGACTGATATTCACATTACACATGTGGAAACCAACCATACAGCCAGCTTGTTTGTTTGGAATCAAACCAAGCCAGGTTAAACTGCTCAGCCACTGGTGAGGCTTTGATGTGTTACAAACCAGTGTTTTTATTTATTGTCATTTTTTACCAATACACTGATATATATTTTATTTTAAAAAGTATATCCTTATTCTTATATTAAAAACTGCAATGCAAATTTTAATCTATTTATATATATATATATGAATAATATTTCAGCTGTCTGTACAAAAAATACAAAGTAACAAAATTCAAAATGCAGAATTTTTATTAATTTGAAATCTTTATAATGCTGCTGGCATTATATTTGGAATTCAAAATTAAAATATCTGCATTAAGAAAATGATGAAAAAATAAGTAATAATGATGAAATATTATTACTTAAAATGTAAATGCTAAAATTTATTAACATGCTTCTAATTAATTTGATCAGAATTTTATTTTAAAATCTACTGTATGTGAAATTTTATAAGCTAACTGATGATAATTTAATATGAATATTCGTAAAATCAGACAATTCTAAAGGGCTTCTCCTGCATCAAACCAATACTACAGCTGTCAAATCATCTGTAAATCACTAAGATATCCATTAATGATTAATAGCAAAAGAAATTAAACACGTAAATGGATCGAATTTAGCATTGCTGTGTCCCAGATTCCCTTAGACAGTCGAAAGGGAAAAAACAAAAAGTGTCTTCAAATCTGGCTGTTTCACATTGCCAAAAAGCAATTCATCCATGACTTCACTTGGAATCCGATGAAATTGTGATGCTGGTTTTTAACATCATCCCCCCTTCTGAGTCTGTGGCTACTGCAGAAGGCTCAAAAACTTTTAAGAAACATTACCCAGACCAAAGCTGCATAGCACTTCAATAACTCGATATTCAGTTCACTAACTATTCTTCCGAATTGAGTGGTTTGAGTGTCCAAATTTTGCTCTGAAACGGAAATGGTCTGGCGAGCATTACCTTGTTTAACCTGTAAAAGAGAATCTAAAAATTCATTAGATGATATTGGCAAAGGAAATATTCTCTGAATAGGTCTGGTTAATGTTAATTTTCAGTTTCACAATGCACACTTTATAGAATGAACCTTACCATCTTTCCTCATCCACTCCCTTTTACGAAAATATTTTATTAGGTGGCCATGATGGATTCTACCACCACAGAGTTTTAGCTAACTTTTCAGGGGAACATCCTCGAGAAATAACATCAACATTCATTTTACCACGAACCTATCCCTAATTTCGTAGAGAAGTCAAATGGTGGATCTCATTCAGTCTATATGAGACATAGATGCCTTTCCTGTTGTCAAATCCTTCAAAAGGCCACTCACACCACGATTTAAGTTTTACTTCAGGCAAATTGAGCAGTCTAATGGAATGTGCTAATAAAGTTCCTATACAACACAAAATTAGTTCTAATTTCATTATCGACAATTCCTTCCTTGGTGCAACTCTAGATTTGGTTCGTAAGAAACTAATTTCAATACCAAGAGAAACCTCTGTTCATATAAAAATGCAAGCATCATATGATGTTTTACATTTGTCTACAAATACATTTAATTCAGATGTCTTATTTACTTCCACGTGTAGTGGAACTTCGACATTATTCAAGATCGGCAGCTTTACAAACCAATCTTAAAAAAAAAAAAAACTTACTTCTGCATCAGTAAGTTTGCAAGTTCAAAATTCCATGCAAATCGAATATTTGCTGTACCAAAGACAAAACACCTCTCTTTGATTTTGTTTAAATTCAGTAGTAGGTACTAAGCATCTCAGGGTATCTCAATCCAAATTCCATATCATATCCAAAAGATATGTATCCCCAGCTGATTTGGAGATATGTAAACTAGGTATGTTATTTTCCCAGTTTCTTAAATCAACAATTCCTTCCTTGGTGCAACTCTAGATTTGGTTCGTAAAAAACGAATTTCAATACCAAGAGAAACCTCTGTTCATGTAAAAATGCAAGCATCATATGATGTTTTACATTTGTCTACAAATACATTTAATTCAGATGTCTTATTTACTTCCACGTGTTGTGGAACTTCGACATTATTCAAGATCGGCAGCTTTACAAACCAATCTTTAAAAAAAAATTTTCCATATTGTCAAGAGACAGTTTAACTTACTTCTCCTGCATCAGTAAGTTTGCAGGTTCAAAATTCCATGCAAATCGAATATTTGCTGTACCAAAGACAAAACACCTCTCTTTGATTTTGTTTAAATTCAGTAGTAGGTACTAAGCATCTCAGGGTATCTCAATCCAAATTCCATATCATATCCAAAAGATATGTATCCCCAGCTGATTTGGAGATATGTAAACTAGGTATGTTATTTTCCCAGTTTCTTAAAATATCCACATTTCAGTAAACTTTGGACTTGAGGGACACATTCCTGTTATTCAGTTATCAACATAAAATGTATGACGAAGACAAGCCACAAGATGAGAATATTCCTTAGAGGCATTCCCTAGCAAATGATTTAAAGATCCTATAAGGATAAAAGCACTTGCTGTCATCCCAAATACTATTCTGCAATGTTTGTAAAGAATTGCTTCATATTCAGAAGAAAAAAGAATCTAAGAAAATTTCTTTGCTGTGGATTAATACTCAATTGTAAGAAGGCCCTTTCTATTCTGAACAATGGGATACGATCTAAATCTATCCATTATATCGGATATTAACTCGGGTTTGGTCAATCAGGATAATTTAAGAATAGCTGATTTTCCTCTTTTGGAGAATCCGACTTTTTTTAGGTTCGGATATTTTCATTAGTTACTGGGCTGATGAGGTAAATAATGCTTGAAATCATTTACCCCCTCGTCTTGAACTTCTTCAATAATTCCTAGCCTTTCCCGTTCTTTACATATAGAAATGTAATCACCTAGATCAGGGTCTCGAAACTACAGCCCGCCAGTGTCATCAATCCCCCCCCCGCGACAGCTAATGGCTTATTGTTGTCGTGATAAGTTGGATAGAATAACTCAATTTTGTTTTCTTGCTAGGTAAAGCTTAATGACAAGTGTCCACTTGTAAAAAATACTAAAGAGATTTATATAAATGATTTTCCACTAGCAATAGTTTGTAGCTGTGGACCAATTTTACTTGTACCAATTGTTAAAAGAAATTTAAGATGCTCATCGGTTAACTTAGATGTGTAAGCATTTTTTGTGTACTTAATTTTGGAGAATGTTTTCTCACACAAATAGTACCAAAAGCAAAAAAAAATTCCCACGAGCAAATTATCAAATTGTACCGGTGAAAGACTCTTTAAACTTCCAACAAAGATGAGTTTTGATGGTTGTTCTTAATTATATCTCTGCATTGTAAATCAGTAACGAAAAATCTTAATTTCATTCACAATGACAATAAAATTTATCTTTAAAGCTTCGATTGCAAAATCAACAAGAAATTTAGTGCGGCTGAATGTTTCGCATTTTTTAATATGTGTGAAATATTTTTTATGTTATTGTGATTGAAATAGTATTTTCTGCTGGAAAAATTTCATATTAGTGTATAAATCAGGAAGAAGCTGCTTTCCTCCCTGCAATCTCAAATTCAATTTGTTCATATGTTTTGCTATATCGACATAGAATGCCATTTAAATTCATTCACCATTTTGTAATTCAATAAGAGGGTGATGCTTCTAAAAATATGTTCCCTTTAAAGAATATACACTATTATAACAAAATTTTATTTTTTCCCTTAATGTAATGATATATAATGCTATATAAATAATGTAATGATATATAAATATTTTTTTAATTATATCACCATCTCTAATCACACTAACACAGTTTTTCACACTTACGAGATAATGAATTATGATTTTGGATATTAAAAACTTTTCAATTTTGCCTCTAAGATTGTTTTCTTGTATAAATATCATATGACAGAATCTTGACAGGTTTTTCTTAGATATTAAAGAAGAATAGATGCACAAGCAGTTATTTGGAAATTCAGTGATCAAATTCTAAACCTATTTCATTGACAGAAAATTTTAGAACTTCTATATTTTTCAGAAACATATTATTTTTATACAGGGGGGCTAAGGTGTCATAATTTTAAGGGATTGTAAATAATGACAAAAGTAACAATTTTTATAATCCACTTTGTAGTCAGAAATAAACTAAGTTTTTCACAAGAAGACACTTCTAAAGGGTATGCAAATCACTCTGGTGCATGTACTGCAGTTGGTGGCTGTTCACTTAAACAATTCTTCTGAATATTGAAAATTGTTTCTAGTAAATACCTGATCAAACTTTCCTTTTGCTTACTTTTTCTTACCATATATGATTCACATGCATTGTATTAGAAAAATTGTTACTTTTGCCTTGTTCTATGCTCTTAAAATTTTGGATCCCGTAACTGTTATCTAGAATCTCTCTATGCATCCAAAATTGCTATCAAAAAGACAATCAGCATCACAAGATTAATTGCCATTGGAAAGAAACTTCCAATATTTCATTTATAAATAGAAATTAGCTATTTAAGTGTATGATAGTGATACTGAAGATGTTTCATTTGAAAAACTGAATTACTCAGTTTTGAAATAAACAGAACAAGATGTTTTTCTCAAAAAATTCTTAAGCAGTACATAAAATAATTATGAAGATTTATCACAGTTCTAAACAATTTAAAACTTGTATTTTAGTTTTTTAAATTAACAAATTATAATGCATAAATAATTTCTGTTCAAGAAACTGATTCCAACAACTTTATTCATTAAGAAATAATAATTGTTAAAAAATTGATTCATTGTCTTTTTTCAATGATTTTGTACTCCATTTCCTTTATAAAAATATGGAGTAACTACTAATAGTGTTGATAGTAATCTCATATATCAAATAACAAAACGAGGTAGTATAATTGATATTAGATTATTACCTTGATTATTTAAGAACTACGGACAGTTAACCAGATCACTTAAACTGCCATCCAATCATTTTTATTTGTGACAATTTTTAAGGGTAATACAAAATCACCTATATTAAGCTACTTTCTTTTAAACACCAATTAATCATTAAAAGGTTCATTTTGTAAAGGAAACATGGAATATATTCAACAACTATAAATGCTGCAAATACTCATTTTGTAAAATGAAAGGCGTTAATATTATTTTACAAATTTTAAAAAGTTAGATTTCCACTTTATTTTGCTTACTGTATACAAAATTTCTAGAGAATATATATGTACATATTTAAATATGGAAAAAATTGTCAATGAAATAACCAATCATTATCCAGGTCTCAAAACTTTTCAAGATTAAAAATGTAAAATGAAAGAGAAAAATTATATCAATTAATCAAGGATCTATAAATACTTCAAAACTAAAATTAATACTTCAGTGCACATATTCCTATTAGATAGTCACACATTTGCTTTCTAATGAGAATAACAACGTACAGATATCAGCAGATTTTAACAAATCATTTTTTAAAACATGAATGTAAACAATCTATTATCAAATTTCAAACATGCACAAAACTAAATTATCACTTTCTTATAAGAGAATTCAATCAAATACTAATGTTAAATAATTTTCTGAAAGAGGCATATTAAATCGTTATAACTTTTTAAAAGATTACTGATTAATTCATCATTTCTTAAAAAATGATTATATTATCACATTTGCTGAGTATTAATCGTTAGCCCCATATTCTTAAAAGCATATTAGATGCTAAACATATTCATTTCATAAAAAAGGAGTATTAAATTATTTTCAAAAGGTATTAATTACCATCTCAAATAAAATTATAAAGAAGCATTTAAAAGAAAGAATATACTTGTGCTTCAAAGCTATCATTTCATTTCAGAGACTTTACAAGAGATGCTAAAACACTGAAATCCAAGAAATTAGGAAAGGTGTAAAATTTTTAACTGCAGTTACATTCACTAGATGGCATGCTATCTTAGAATCCAGAATATGTGGCTAGCTTTTGAATTGTGACAAACCAGTACTATGTTGACTTGTTTTGAAATTTTATTCGGAATTGAATATTTTTTAAAAATTATATTATTTATAAAATGGATGAAAAGGCAAGCATTGAGAATTTTGCAATATTTATGCAAGATGGAGTAATTATGAGAGAAAAGGCAATCATTGGATTTCGTGACAATTGTGCAGAATGAAAACTCAATTTACTTGTCTGTATATTTTTGCCTAAAATGAAGTAATAAGCCATGCCTTATATTAGTTATTCTTTCAAAAATATTTTTTCTGTCTGCTTAGGTCAGATAATGGCTTATAGCAATAATGATGGCTTAAAATTAACATTTGTGATAAGGCATTTTATGTCCTTTTATGAATAAAGTGACATCTGCTAAACAGCTATAATTAAACAATTTGCATAACAAAATTTCTTGGAAACTCATTTTTAGACATTTCTATAAATAATACATTCATTGAAAATTAAAAAAATAGATACATTCTAAAAACTTGTTTCCTCTAAGATTGCTTTATATTTTAATTTAAAACAAGACTCTAATGTCTTTTTAAAAGAACCAAAGAATTTTAAATTATTGTATTTGTTGCAGTGCATATGGCAGTTATGGAGATAGATCAGTATACTGCCTGCTGAAATTTTTCATTTAAATATTTAAAAATAAAAGTATTTTCATAATGTCTAGCTTCACTGATATTATATGGTCTAAAAATTTAGAAACATATCTGAAAGCTCAAAAGCAAAATCACCTCCATTTATATAGATAAATAACCAAAAAATTATTAAAACTAATAAACCAAAAATATGCTAATATTTAATCTCTTAAAATTCAGGTTTTGGTACTCATTTCAAATTCTTTGTCACAAACAATATGAAATTAATATACATTAAATGATTACATGGTCTTATACTGATGCTACTAGGACTACTTTCACAAGTGATAAATATAACACTAGTCACATGCAAAATATGTTTTGAAGAAGTAACAATAATTAATAAACATAAAAGAGTTATAAATGTAGCTGAAAAAAAATCTCGACCCCCCACCCCAAAATAACAATGCTGCCTCTTTCATGAAAGAAAAATTAAAAATATCCAATATTTATATGCAAATTTAAGCTGTAATAAAATTTGCAGAATGATTTAAAATAAAGTATTAGCAATCTGACAATTATCTTTTCACTTGAATACAGATGTGTAACTGCTATTCATAAAAATTGCATTAAATTTTGGATCACATTTTTTAAAATGTATACATTTTCTGAAGTGTAAATGTTCTAAAATGATGAATCACTTGTGATGACTTTTTTTATAATCATGTTGAAGAACATGCTTTCCTCATATGTTACAAAATAAAACTTTTATATGTCTCACTTTCTGAAGTGTTTCGTTACCTTTCCACCGTAAGCATGTTCTCAATACCAGAATCAGTAATTGACTATCTTCAGACGTAAAAAATACAGACATGTAAATCATTTTTTCACATAACAAAACTACCACACACACATAACATTCTCAGTAAATACTTGACTTTTTAAACAGTATAAACAGATGAGGGTTCCTTTAATTCACAAATAATCTTGAAAGCACCAGAAGAAACTGCATCTTCTATAAGTAATTTTTCATAAGTGGAGGAGGTATTAGCTTCTGTTCAAAAATGACAGTGCACACAGTCTTCAATTCTTTAAAATTTTTTAGTTTGGAAACATTCACAGTAAATAAGACTTTGCTTTTGTATTTTTTTTTTTTTTTTTTTTTTTTTTTTTTTTTTTTTTTTTTGTATGGAAACTGCTGTTTTTTATAGTCAAATATCATAGTCTGATATGAGAATAAATTTCTTTAGTCTTAATTCTTTTATTTATACGGTTTATTCTGAAGTTGGTGTAAAACAGTCAAAGAAATTGGGCTAGATGTCTATCCTGGGTTACTCTCCTTGATGTAAGGCAGAGAACTTATTTTCTAAATCAAGCTGTAGTTCTTTTTGTGATTCACCTTTAGAGCGCACTCCATGTTTGACAGACTGGAAACTTTTATCAGATTCACTGCATTCAAGAAAAGAAATAGTACAATAAATTAGTGAAATAATTTTATAAAACATATTAAACAAATTTTAACCTATAATTATTGTGTGTATACATACATATAGAGGGGCTTATACCTACACCTATATATTTAGCAATTTAATGATAATAAAACAAAATATGAAAATCATAATATAATAAATAACTGACTTTAAAATATGCATACAACTGTAGTACAGTAAAACATTTAATAAATATTTAAACTTTCTTATTTAAGCGAAAAGAAAATATTTAATAATGCAAGTTTTCTTCAACTAGAGCTATTTTGGCAATTATAAAACATGTGAAAATACAAAAATAAAAGAAATAAAACCTAAAACTGTGTAAATAAAAAAGACACAGTGAATGGAAAATTTTGTAAAATGCAAGATAAAATGGCATATTTACAATGAAAACATAAATGTATAAATACTGAAGCAAACATGACGACCATACAAAAAACCAAAATATTCACATATTTCCTTTGAAAACTCCATCCAGCAAGATCTAAATCCAGGTTGAACTATCATTGTTTAATAATCTTATCGACTTAACAGCATTGAAACAGCATTGTCTTACTCTATTACTCAACATTCAATTGAAACTTTTACATGACTCTAAAGTATTTTTTACTTTTTTTTTTTTTTTTTTCAGTTGTTTCAGAATCGATGACAAAATATGTGCTAAATATTGTCCGTTTGCATCACATCATAAGAACCACAAATCAAAATAGCATTTTCTAAAGTCTACACTGTCCTATTCAGCAAAACGTTATTTCTGCTATATATATATATATAAAATAAAAAAAAAACGCTGAAGAAGTTCAATTTATTCTACTTGTTCGAAACTAGGTGAATTAGCAGTTGCCGGATATGAACACTATGGGTTAAATCCCAAATAGAATTTTATTAATCCTGATACTCAATGCCATATACATACTGTCGTGCATGTACGGTTTCACAATAGACTGAATGCACACAGAACCGATGCCAGCTTGATTAAATTTATTTTTACCAAAATAAATGCTTTACCAGTTCTGAAACTTTTCATAAAAATACTCACACAGCTCTTCTCAGTATCACAGTGTACAGTAGTTATACTTCAAACTAATAAGAATGTTAAACACATCACATTGCAAAGTGCATCTAAAAAGGGAAAGCTCTGATGAAGATACTCTACTCTGAACTAATGCTGAACTAAACAAATGAGAAACTGATATGCTCTCTCAGATTTTGTATCTTCCTCTAGCTGCTGAAAAATCTCTAGTATCTTCCACCAGATATGGTTACAATTTACACATAGGGATCAATTACAGTTACCAATTATACAGAGACTGGAGCAAACTGTTATCGCCAAATTTGGTGACAAAAATTAGTTGCCAGAACCATCACCAGCTTGGCGATATCTCGCAAATTTACTGAGAAAGTCATTTACTCAATGTTAAGACTTATCTCCGGTGATTGTATTTTTTTGGAAATCCATTTCATATTTTTCTTATTCGTGAATATATGACTTGTCTTTGACTTTTGCATTTATTTTGATCTAATAAAACCAGTCAGCCATTCCTATACCCAATCAGATTTCACACCAACTATTTACATTAAGCACCAAATATGTTAGTCAAACGTCAATATTATTTAATTGCCACTTACTTTAATTTCCATTTATTATTATCCACTGCTGAGGAAAGTGATGGAAAATGTAGCTCGCTGGTGATCTGAGGTGCATTTTTGTGTGTTCTTCTACTAGATGCACCAGAGCCAGAGGACACAGACGATGCAGCATTTCTAAGAGCAGGAGGCTTGTATGCACCAGTTGGCTTTGGAGGTTCTTCTTTAGGTGGCTCTTGCTGAAATTCTTATATTAAAAAAAATAATAATAAAATAAGATAAAATTAAACAATACAAAATTTATTCAAAATCAAAACTTTTTCCTTCAGATATATGTAGTAAAAAATATATCATAAACAGTATTTATATATTAGCCAGCACATTACCAAAAATACCATGTGACTACGTTCTCTGAACCCTAAAAGCTTTCACAAATTTCTCTTAAAAGTTTTTTTTTTTTTTTTTTTTTTTTCAATTTCTTTTACTTTTTGTGTAAATAATTTCTGTTTTAATCTTTTTTAAATCATTTTAACATCAATTTTAGACTAATTACTGCAATCAAATATCTGCATTAAGCTTTTTTTTTTTTTTTTTTTTTTTTAATTTCCTTTCCTTGTAAGATTTTGGGACAATGTTTGTTTACCTCATGTTAAATTTTACTACATTTCACATAATGCATTTGCTAGAATTGCTGAGACACAAAAGCAGTCCATACCAGCTAATACCATTTTTTTAAAGTACCATTTTTTCTATAAAAAAATGATAAGAGTGTTAAGACAGTAAAATTAATTAAAATGCAATCTAGAAAATAAAAGTAGTAGAATTCTAATAACAGAGCCTAACAGAAAAAAAGAAAATTTAAAATACACTGTTGGCCATTAAAATTGCAACACTGTGTGAAGGAAAGCAAATCCAAAAAAAGATATTTATTGTATGTAAACAGTATGGCATGAAAACAAAATGATTGAATTTGTAAGCAGTTTAGGAGATGCGAAATTAGTAGAAAAAACAGCTGCTATCGCTGCAAGCTAAAATGGCCCTTACTTGGTTAGGCATGACCTTGAACTGAGCTTGGATAATAGAATCAGGCAACTCATTCCATACTGCTTCAAGTCTATGCCACATTTCTTCAACCGTATTAGCTACAGAGGGATGGGGGGCTAGTCTTTCAGCAGCCCATGACCAGATGTTTCCATTGGGTGACAGATCTGGAGATCATGCAGGCCAGGGCAGCAATTGAATACCCTGTGTATTGAGGAAGGTAAGAACATGACATGCAACATGTTGTCTTGCATTATCTTGTAGGAAGACAGCATTTGGCAGGCCACAAATATAGAATATAATCACTGGACCTAAGATGTCAAAATCAACAAATCTGCATATAAATTACTGTTTATCTGAACTAAAGATGTGCGTGTCATGTACCCAATGGTTGCCTAAGCCATCACACCAGGTGCAGGACCCCTATGCTGATACTGAATGCAAGCACGTAATGTGCGGTCTTTTCGGAGCCTGTAAATACATATACGGCATGCAGAACGAGGATTTGTTTGAAAAGGAGACACTATGCCACTCCAGTATTCAGCTTTGTCATTTGGTGCACCAGAATTGCCATCTCTATCTATGCTGCATTGTCAAGGGAAGCCGAAGTAATTGTTCCCGTGCTGACAGTCCACGCTGCTGCAAATGTCAACGCACAGTACGAGCGAATACTGGGCGTGCTGCAAACATACCCATTTCCTGGCTAATAGTCTGTAATATGGATGTACGGTTTTGCAGGGCTGACCTCACAATATATCTCGCCTCTCGGGCATTACTCATGGGAGAGCATTGAGATCCTGCATGCCGTTCAGTATGACTCTCAGCAACCCATTGATTCCATATTCACTTAACGGTTGTTGGATGTCGACGAGTGCGAAGGACATTATAATGGAATGATAATTCACACTTTCCATGTGCAACGATCCTGCCTTTATCGAATTCCAACACTTACTGACAAGCATTTCTTCTTATTATCCAAGGCATAACACTATATCCTGAGCAAATTCTGACCTTACAAAGTGTTTTCCGAGTGAGAAATCCACTTCACAACTTTCCTTTTATGCAGTGCTCCAGATGTTGCTTCTCCCTCCTGCGTCATTTAAATGTACTGAAATACTCATACCTCTTCTTCCTTTCATGTGATTCTGATGTTCATTTCTGGTGTTGCAATTTTAATGGCTAGCAGTATAATAAATACATTTTTATCAGTCTTACAGGAAATTTAAAGAATTTTTTAATCATTTATTTAATATAAAAAAGTTAATGAAAACTTTTGAAATGAATCATCATAAAACAGAAGGTAAGTCATTTCTTTATTTGGGTACTACTCCGTTAGAGCGGAGTCAGTTAAAAATGCAGAAAAATGAGAAGAAAACAATGTTACACAACGACACGCCAAATATCGTGGCTGGAGATTTCCAGTTTTCGTCTGAAATATCACATCTTTTTTTTGGCATTTTTTGAAATTTTTTTTTTAGTACGATGAACTACATGATTTGGAAATTAACTAATGGTGAAGAGGCTGCCATAAGCTTCCTTCAGGACAAAGGAATAATTCATAGCAATTGACTTTGATCTCAAAATCATTCAATGAAGTTAATTTTTGACTCAAGCAAAACTCCTATATGGGGTTGTTAAGTAAATTCTTGCTGTGAAAAAAAGGATTGAGAACCAAAACATGGTTTGAAGGCTCACATCTTTCTTTCCTCAATGACGTTCGTTTTATCTATCTGTGGTGTTAGGAATTGATGTCGATTGAATTTTCCCAACTTCAGTTAGAAATCAGCCATAATAGGATAGTAGATTGGAATAACTGCTTGGCAGAGAGAGATATGTACAAAAATAGTTTGATGTCTCATAAAAGAAATAAAATCGGTGAAGCCAACAAAATTGTAGAAATAGATGAAGTCTTTTCACAAAAAGGAAAAACAACAGTGGATATGTTCTTCTGGAACAATGGGTATTCGGGGGTTTACGCCAGGAAAACAGAGAATGTTTTCTGATCATTCTATTACAACAGTGATGACTGCCATTCTGGAAAACATCGTGAATGGCAGCATATTTTCAGACTGCTGGAAAGGATATAAGAAAGACCCGGATGCCATACCCAAACTTTGGCGCGACTGTGGGGCAGTGCTAAATGGAGAAATAAATTTCAACAGTACACTGCTCACCACCACCCAAAGTCATATCTGATAGAATTTATGTGGTATCAGTAAAATTCAAAAATGAAACTTTTTCTATAATATTGAATATTTGTAATTTTACGCCACCTGTTTAGATTGAATTTCCTCTTGTTTTGTCATTTTTTTATTTATGTGTGGAATATTCTTTATGGCACTTGTTTAGATTAAATTTCGTTTTGTTTCATTATTTTTTATTTATGTGTAGAATTCTCTAGATTAAAAAATTTTTCTAAAAAATTTATTTTCTTTAAGAATTATGAAATTTAAAAAATTTACTTTTTACAGAAGTAATTTTTTGCAGTCTTTAAAACTCTATTGTTGTTTCATAATTTTATACTTGGCAACAATTGGTGACCAAAAAAAAGTGGCGCATTTTTAACTGATATCGCTGTAACGGAATAGCACCCTTTATTTTGCTTAGTAAAATATAAAATCAGTATTACTTCATTTAACCCTCTGAGGGGCGCAGGATTTTAGATCCGTCATGAAGACTGGTATTTTAACAGCATTTATAAATTGAGTTTGTATAATTACTTATTTTAGTCTGTATTTTCATAAACTTTCATTCATTAAGATGATATTTGCATTATTAAATAAAGTAAGAAAGTAAAATATCTTAAAGTATAAGCTAATATATGCCAAGTAGCAAAAGGGGTTAAGGAAATTTCTACACATATAATTCAAAATTTCTCCCCATGAAAAATTGTTTTCTTATATAGTCCACTCATCAAAGAAAACATAAGCATTTTTCTTCAAAGCATTCTTCTACCTTAATTTTTCTTTCAATGTCATTTTCTTATAGTCTGCTCATCAAAGAAAATATATTAATAATAGTATTTTTATATACTATTATTTATATAATAATAGTATATAAAAGTATTACTATTATAATATATTAATAATAATACTTTTATATAAATGTATTTTTCTTCTTAATATTCTTCTTTCTTAATTTTTCTCTTCTATCATGAAAAATTTTATACATATTCTCATCCAATCTGAAATTTTTACATAATCTGTCCTTATTTATTATAATTGAACTGTTTACTTTTATTCAATTTTATTCTTTTAATTATACTTAAACATGTGATATACGACGGCGATCCCAAAAAAAAGGTCTCCTATATTTTTAGATATACAAAGAACCATTTACTTTCTATAATTGCTACATCACTTTAAAGATTAACGAATGTTTTATTTTTCAACATAATCGCCATTTCGGTCAATGCATTTTTGTAGACGCTGTGGCAGTTTTACAATGCCCATGTCATACCAGTTTGCCGCCATGCCCTTCAGGAAGCGTGAATCGAGTCCAAGAAGTTCTCCTTTTCGTCTCCATAGCGGCGAAGAAATTCGCGGGAAGAATCAACCCGTTGCCGTTTGTGGTCTTCTGCCAGCATACGCGGCACCCATCTTGCACACACCTTCCAATATTGCAACTTTTCCGTTAAAATCCTGTGGAAGGTGCTTCTGGAAACCTCAGGAACTAAAATGCAGAGAGCATCCAGAGCGATCCTCCGATCTTTACGCATGAGTTCCTCAACTTTCGCGATTGTCTCGTCGGCAATTGACGACCTCCCGCTCCTTTCGTCATGAATTTCAGTATGACCTGCTGTAAACTCTCTACACCACTTGCGAACGTTTTTGACATCCATGCACGACTGTCCATACACTTCCGTCAATAGGCGGTGAATTTCAACCGGTTTAACGCCTTTTGCGTTCAAAAATCGAATAACTGCACGCACTTCACGGCAACGTTTATCGGGAGCTCCATTTCGAATGGCTGCCAAGCCAAGACTGAGCATTCGAGCGAAGCGCCTGTGTGCTTATGTGGTAGCGGAGAAGCCACCACTCACAACATTGTTGCCAACAACCATATTAAAACTTTCTGTACGTCCCCCAAAAATAGGAGACCTTTTTTTTGGGATTGCCCTTGTATATAACTGTTTGCCAAAAGCCCAGCTGTACTACTACTTGGTTGTTAAAATTAGCAGAAGAGTACTCTGGAGAGCCATCTTTA